CCCCAAAACCCCAAAACCCCAAAACCCCAAAACCCCTGACAGACCCATAACTACTGAAACAGGTATATAAAGATCTGCACAAATGATAAATAATACAATTATTTTAACAAAAATGGACTTAGACCAATTCCCCATGATTCCTTTCCCAGGAGATGTGGACCTCTTTGGCAGCAAAACAGGTAAGCACCTGGTTGGAAATGGTCTAAAATTCTTTAGAAGATAATTTCTCATTCATCGATCCCTTCAAAATGAAGTTCACCGAAATTCATCAGCCTGACCAAAAGAAGGAAACAAAGGTGAAAGAAAACAGCTCTCCCAATATTGAAAAAGGTTATATGGGTAAGAATTTAATATGGAATTATAATGATTGAAAAAGTTATTTATCAGGATCAAAATTAGCAAGATAAGGACATCTAATCCAGTTTCGTAATTATCTGACAAATGATCTTTAGATTTGCCAATAACCATTAGTTTTAACATCTAAACACCTTTATTTTGAAGTCATTGCATTTTCACTTACTGCTCCAAAGGATAAGTGCTAAAACATGACTCAATTACAATAAATCTGACTACTTCAAAAGAGGTTTCAAACATCTATCACTTAGAAAAATCTAAACATTTTGGTTGTTTAAGCTAACTTTTCTCTGAAACATCTATTTGGAAATAGACTATGATATCTTTATCCTTTGATTTTATATTTAAACCATCAAGCTGGCATATCTTGAATATAATAGCAAACTTCTATGCCGTTCTAGTGCACCTAGAATCTTTTTTATTGCTTTTTAGACAAATTACGAGGTTTTAATCAAGACTTTTCGAGAGCAAAATTTTCACATAACTTCTCTTGTTTTGACATCTAATCTTTCTACAAATATAAGTTGGCCTATATTGTTTATCTTGTGCATGTATGAACTGGCAAGTTGGATCTCTTCCATTCCAAGTTAGCAATATGAGATTGTTCTTAGGCATAGTTTCCTGCCTCAAATAGCAGTGAATCCTGCCCTCTGTTTTGTCAAAGCAAGGACCTTCATCATTATCCTTAATGGTTTTACACATTCAGACCCTTTTTATGAAATTTCTGATGCGAAGGATACTTGCTTAATAAGAGGGAACTTCTTAACAAAAGATATTTACCTAAGTGTAGACAACCAGAAGATTCAATTTCATCCCAAAGCAAAGCATACTCAAGTAGTTAACCATGAGGGATTTCGCCAAAAACAAGTAAATAGAATTGACCAGACTTTTGGAATCTGCGAGAATATAAACTATCAGAGAACTGAAGAGCTTGAGAGAGTGATTTCTTCCAGTCGTATGACTCAAAAACCTCAGAATTTGTTTAAGTTACTCAGAATCAGACCTCATCATTACAAATTGACCATGGCTCCTTACATTCACGAGATAATTACAGAGAGAGTGGAATCCTTCCTAGAATTCAAGAGTGAGCAAATATCAGGATTTGATGAATCCTCCTTCTTCGATAAAATCTTAAACAATGAGTTCAAGCTTGTGGATAACAAGCCTATTAATTGCCTTGGGATGGAAATCACTCGGAACCATATGCAAAAGACCATTTCCTTTAGAACTAAAGACGGTAAGTTTTTTCTTCCTCAACGATCATGAGACATCAGACAGAAGTCTGGTGTCTCATTTTATTTTCAGAATCACAATTTTCTTCTCATTTTAACCTTATGATATTTCCTTTCGACATTCTGAGCATTTTTATAGAGCAAATGTTAGACACCAAAATTTTTGAAGGATTTATGCAAGAATTTATCGCCATTATGCAGAGAGTTGAGAGCCAAATTGAGCTTTATGAACGAGCAATCAGGAAAGGAATATATCATCTCTGGTACTGAGTAGATTCTTCTGAAGGTGAGCTAGAGCCAGTGAGTCAGGATCTACAAGACATCTTGAACAAAGAACCATCAGGAAATCAACAGAACCAGAAAATGGATTCTTTCTTTTACTTTGAAGAAGAGGGTGATGATGATGCGACAAAGTTTAAGATAAACCTTTATGATGTCACTTCTATTATAAATGCACCAGTCACTTGTTTAGTTGACCCTCTGGGGAATGAAAAGTTTCTTTACTGACCAATAGCTAAGAAGCAGAAGAAATATAAGAAGAAGGAGATCAAGAGCTGGTATACTCCAAAACTTCTCAGGACACAAATCGAGATCAGGCATCTGAGAGAATTAGTGAATAATTATCCAGAGAATTGGACAGATATTGAGAATCTTAGCTTTAAGACAAGTCTTTACAACACTGTTGATCTTGAACTTTCAGGAGATGAAGCTAGCAAAGTTATTGACATGGTTAAAAAGACTTCTTCAGGAGTAAGTTTCTCAACATCTTGAATTCAAACTCCTTCTAGGTCTTAGCAAGATCCTTCGGTAGTTAATTTGGGTGAATTTTGCATTTTTCATACATTTAAGAGTAATTCTGACTTATTTTAGATTAAAGTAGAATTCTTGAGAATCGAAAGAGTTCAGAATGTTCTTGCTTATGACAAATATCAGCAGCAAAAGCAATATATGCAGAAAAAATACTCAGATACAAGGAACCTAGAGGAGTATCTCTTTCATGGGACCAAGAGAAATAACCCTGAAGTTGTAATGGGGTCTGAAGAAGGATTTGATATGCGATTTTCAAACGGAGGAATGTGGGGAAGAGGTGTCTATTTTGCGAAGAAATTTAAATACTCTCATGGTTATGCTTATAAGATTCATACACAAGGAAAGACCTATTATCAAGTGTTTCTTGCTAAAGTTCTTACAGGAAAGAAATATGACAGCAAACATAATAGACATATCAAGGTCCCTCCAATCGATCAAGAAACAGGACTAAGATTCGATTCAGTCTGTGGAAATACTGGTGGTACAAAAGTACACATCGTCTACGAAAACGGCCAAAGCTACCCTGAATACTGTATCACTTACACCATCACAAACCTCGAATCCACCAAAGACGCACCTCCTCACCCCTCTACTTCTCTCCGCTCACGTCTCGCCTCTCGCACTTCAAGAACCCCCAGACATCCTTTCCCAAACCCCTACGCCACCCCCACCTCCTTCAACCTCTCCCGTGTGCCTCTCGTCAAGCCAGTCCAAATCCCAAAACCAATAATCCAGCAGCCCACTCTTCCTCAGAAGTCATCTCTAAATTTCCAAGTTCCTGACCAGTCAGGATTGCTGACTTTTGATATTACGAAGCCCACCTCTATTTTTGAGGCTCTTAGGAAGAAGACTCGGAAGTAGAGATTTGTTAAGGAATTTTAAGGTTTCAATATTTCTATTGCTTCTTGGGGTTTTGGGGTTTTGGGGTTTTGGGGTTTTGGGG